TAGATAGCGAGTAGGTTGTCTCCTAGTCTCTGTAGCATTTGCGTTTTGTGTTGCTCTGCTTCTTCTTCTTTAGAGAGTTTAGAGATCTCTGCTGTGTATAATATAGTCTTGTTCCAGGGGCAGAAATAGTAGTCCTGCAGTTTTTCTTCTTCTGTGCTTGGAGTAGCGTTTTGTATTAATTGTATAATTTGCATAAGCTAAGTAGGTGGGCCTGTTCTTAGTCTTAGGAGAGCAGCTTCTTCCTCTTGTTCTGTGCTAGACTCTAAGTCTTCTCTTTGTAACTATAGAGTGGCTTTTAGAGTCTTAATTATAATTTAAACAGGGTAGTCTTTAGGTAGCTTCCTAGCTCTAAAGGCGTACTTTCTTAGAGTAGAATTTAGTCTTATAGCAGGGGGAGGAAGTGCTGCCTCTGTCTCCTGTGGTGCTATAGGAGAGGTCCTAAAGGTTCCTAGGATTTTTCTTAGGGCAAGATTCTGCAGTCCTTAGAGTTGCTTTGTTATTCCTGCTTGTTGTTTCTAGAAGACCTGGCAACCATAATCTGCAATGCTAGAAACGCATGCTAAGTATAGCTGTCTTATAGCGCTAGGAGGGAGGCCTCTATTGCTGTTTGCAAGTCTGCACATTCTGTAGAAAGCGTTTCTTGCTTGGCTAATCCTTGTAGCTGCGTGTTCTTTAAAGGAGAGTGCGTTGTCAAAGTAGATTCCTAGCCACTTTACTGTCTTTTTAGGCTCTATAGTAGACCTGTCTGGCAGGGTAAGTGTAGAGCTAATAGCTTTATTACTTGTTGTAAAGTGAATAAGCTCTGTCTTTGCTGCATTAAATTGTATAGCGCAGCTTGCTCCTTTAGCAAATAGGCTTGCTATGTCTCTTTCTAGCAAGCGGACATTCTTGTTTAGGCTAGTAGATGATGCTGTAATTGCTAGGTTGTCTAGGTAGGAAGTAGAGTAGTTTGTAATAGATTAAAACAGAGGTCTAATAACGTGTTTCACCACCGAGTCGCGCACCACCACCGAGTCGCGCGGCCCTACGAACTTTGCGACTATTACATCTATTACAAAGATGCCACCACAACGCAACACGCAATTAATCTACAATAAAGGCGCACTATACCTTGCAATCTAGGCTACAAATGCTACTGTGTCTGACAGTATAAAACACGCGTCTAGAGCGTTCAATGTTCCTGAATTAACCCTAAGAGACCAACGCGCTAGAAAACGCGCACGACGCGACTGCAAAGCCAACTTAAAGAAGCTTAAGAAGACAGAAGAGGACGCAATAGTTACACGTATACTAGAGTTAGATGAGCGAGGGATAGGCCCTACAAGGACTATGGTAGAAGAAATGGCCAACGATCTGCTCGCTGCGCGCGGTGAAGGACCTGTTGGCAAGAACTGGGTAGACAGGTTTAGAACGCGTACTAAGGAAGTCAAGCTTCGACGCAGCCGTCCATACAATTGTCAACGAGCCCTAAACAAAGACACACGCGTTATAGAGCCCTGGTTTGAGCTAGTAAGAAGGACAAAGAAGAAGTACAGGATCCTAGATAAAGACACACACAACTTTAATAAGTCTGGCTTTATAATAGGCATAATTGCTGCTTAAATGGTCTTTACAGGCTCTAAGAAGCGAAGCAATCCTAAGAAGATACAGCCAGGCAACTGTGACTGGGTCACAATCATCTAGGGCATCTGCGCTGGCGGATAGGCCATCCCACCCTTTATTATCTTTGGCGGCAAGGTCCTTATATCAAGCTAGTATCCAGGACTACCTCACAACTAGGTAATTAAGACCAGCGCTAACAGCTGGACAACAAATAAGCTTGGCCTGAAGTGGTTGAAGCACTTTAACGCGCATACAAAGGAGCGTACTGTTGGCGTGTACCGTCTGCTAATTGTAGACGGCCATGAGAGCCACAACAGTTACCAATTCCTTAAGTACTGTGAGGAACAGAAGATTGTTACTCTCTGTATGCCTCCTCACTCGTCGCACCTGTTGCAGCTGCTTGACGTGGGCTGTTTTGCCCCTTTAAAGCGCGCGTACTCTGCTAAGATTGACAGCTGGGCAAGGTACTCTATCACACAAGTCAAGAAAGAGACCTTCTTACCAGCCTTCCATATTGCCTTTGACAAGGGAATTACAAAGAAGAACATCTTAGCAAGCTTTAAAGGCGCTGGCTTGGTTCCTCACAACCCAGAGCAGGTGCTATCAAAGCTTGATGTGGTGCTTCGTACGCCAACACCTGCACCATCAGAGACCACCCTGTGGGAGTCCAAAACACCAGCTACTATAAAGGAGATAGAGGCGGAATTAACGCTTATTCGTGAGCGCATACAAAGGCACAGAGAATCACCAATCTCTCCTCTTCTACAGGCTGTTAATTCGCTTGCAAAAAAGGCATGGCTATCATAGGTCATAATTCAGTGTTGCAGGCGCGGGAACTAGCAGGTATTCGCAAGGCAATGGCTACTATAACAGAGCAGCATAGTTGCAAAAGAAAGTATATTCAGGCAGAGAAGAGTCTAACAGTAGGTAACGTACTAGATTTAATAGCTAAGAAGGACTGTGGTGGTGGGGAGGCAGCTGAACAGGGTGCAAAGAGGGTGCGCAAAGACAGGCACTGCGGACATTGTGGCAAGATTAGCCACAACTCACGCACCTGCACTACAGAAATTGTAGATCAAGATAATAGCGATGCTTTTAAATAGTACTTTAAGGCACAGTATGTTTGTGCGCAGTACTGTGGTGGAGAGTAATGGTCTGTAATAGTCGCAAAGTTCGTAGGGCCGCGCGACTCGGTGGTGGTGCGCGACTCGGTGGTGAAACACGTTATATATTAGAAACAGGATTGGTAAGACAGGGCTGCCTTGTAGAATTCCTGCTGTAATACTACTAAAGCCCTCTGTTTCTCCATTAAAGGATAGTCTTAGCTGGCGCTTAGATAGGAATAATTGAACCTATGCTATTAAATTGCAAGGTAGCTGTAGCTGTTGTAGTATAGCAAGTAGCTAGTTTAGAGCGACGTGGTCAAAGGCGCCTTTA